AACCTCGCGACTTCGCCGAGAAACAGGGTAACCTCTCGGCCGGCCCCTAATGACGACGGAAGCGACCGGTCAACACCAAAGTCGCCTCATCCGTGTTAGGCATTTAACTTCCGGTAACGAGTACCTAGTGCATACCGGAACCGAAGTTAGCGTTATACCCCATAGCTCAGCTGAGGTGGTCTCTATTTGCCGACCAGAATAAGTGCCGCCAATGGCATACCAATCGCAACCTTCGACAAAAACTGCTAACACTCCAACTGGGCTGCCGGCGGACCTTTCGCTGGCCTTTCATTGTAGCAGCCGCGCCTTTGCAACTATATGCATAGACTTTCTCCAAAACAGCGACCTTATTGCCAACGCTAAAAGTAAGAAGCTTGTCGACTCTCGGACACAGCTCAGTGTTGTCGGGACTAGCACCAACGTGGCCGCTATCATGCTTTTCCTTGTCCTGCCTCAAGCTTCACAGCCTTTTATAGACCTTTACAACAAGCATCCTAAACTCTTACTCGTTCCGAACGACTTGCCTCTCTGACTTGAAACGTCATGCATCACGTATAAACTAAGGGTCCACCTGTTTCGGCTCGCCCCCGCAGACTCGAGGAACTAGAGCGCATGCTCGAACTGGGAATAATCCGGCCGTCTACAAGTCCACGGACATCGCCATTACACAAGGTACTCAAGAAATCCCGTGACTGGCGTTCCCTGTGGTAATTACAGGGCGCCCAACAAAGTTACTGTCCCGGATTAGTATTCAATCCCGCAAACGCACCACTTGACTTCAGCTCTAGCTGAAAAGTCCCTTCTCAGCGAAATAGACCTAGTCCGCGCCTACCACCAAATACCTTTGACGTCAGTCGATATTGCTAAAACAGCAGTCATCACGCCGTTTAGCCTCTTTCAGTACCTCAGAATACCTTTCGGCCTCAACAACGCGGCTCAAACATTTCAGTCTTTCATTCATGTGATAACGCAAGGACTCGAAGGCATTTGTCCTCACTAGAGGGCATCCTCCTCGCCTGCTCTTCTGACGGTGAGCATCTTCTTCCACTCGAAGCTCTTTCAACGCTCGAAGAAACATGTTACCGCCGACCTCGATAAATGCGAACTTGTCCTAAGCTCCGTCGACTGTTTGACCACCGGATATCTTCCTTTGGCACTGAAGCCCTGCAAGGCAAAATCCAGGCATTGAGAGACTGTCCTGCTGCTAGTTCCTTCAAACAGCCACGCAGATTCCTTGGCCTAGCTAACTACGACCGACGTTTCCTTCCCAACTGCGCGAGCATAATGTAACCAATGACAGAATTGCTCAAAAGCAACCAACGTTCTTATCATTTTTCAGACGACGCCAGACTTCTTTCGAGAAGCTCAAAGACGCTATCCTTAACATAACGCTTCTCGCTCACCCAGACCCAACTGCGCCTCTCGCTGACGACTGCTGCATCAGACACCGCCGTCGATGCAGTTCTTCAACAAGTGCATGGCCATCGATGCATACCTCTAGGTTTCTTTTTAAAGCGTTTGCAACCTGCCGAATCGCGTTACAACACCCTCGGTATGAAAATACTAGTAATCAACTTAGGTATCCGCCACTTCCGTCACTATCTCAATGGTCGACATTTCACAATATTCACTGATCACAAGCCATTGATCTACGCAATCAAGAGCGAAACAGACAAGAATTCTCTGTGGGAAACTAGACTATGTTCCTCGGTTTATGACAGACGCACGAAATGTCTCAGGTGCTGTCACTCTAGTCGCGGAGAGTCTTTCACGTATCCGTCAGACCAGCCTGTCACCTGGCACCAACATCGATCTAGTCGCCATGGCTGCTGCCCAACAATCCGATTCTGACATAGATACGCTTCGGCGCAACAACTGTTTGGAACTACACGAAGTTCAACTCACTTCATCTGAGGGGACCATTCTTTGTGTTATCTCACAAACTTCTCAGCCGTGGTTTCTATGACAATGCGCCGACTAGTTTTCAACTTCCTACACAACCTATCGCATCCTGACATGCGTGCTTCGCAGAAGCCCGTAGACGAACGCCTCAAATGTCTCCACGTCAGCCGCGATATCCGCATCTTTGCGCGCACATGCTTAGGGTGTAACCGCGCGAAGGTTTACAGGCACACCAAAAGCCTACTCGGTATCTTTCTAGCTCGTGGCTCTCGTTTCGCGCAAATCCATGTCCACCTCGTTGGGCCTTTGCCACCATGCAAAGGCCACGTGTACTTACTCACCTGCATCGACCGATTCACGCGTTGATCAGAAACGATCCCGATAGCCAGCTACTCATCTGAAACAGTTGTACAAGTTATCCTAGAACGCTGAGTAGAACAGTTCGGTTG